AGGAGTGGCTGGAGAGCAGCCCTGCGGGAAGGGATCTGGGGGTGCTGGTCGACAGCAGGCTCAATGTGAGTCGGCAGCGTGCCCTGGCAGCCCAGAGGGCAAACCGCGTCCTGGGGTGCATCCGACACAGCATGCCCAGCCGGTCAAGAGAGGTGATCATCCCGCTGTATTCAGCACTGGTGCGGCCCCAGCTTGGGCGCTGTGTGCAGGTCTGGGCCCCACAATTTAAGGAGGATGTGAAGGTCCTTGAACGCTTCCAGAGGAGGGCAGCAAAGCTGGTGGAAGGGCTGGAGGGCATGTCCTGTGAGGAGCGGCTGAGGGCTTGGGGCTTGTCTGGTTGGGAGAAAAGGAGGCTTTTTTGAGGAGGGGATGTGGAGAGGGAGGTGGTGGTCTCTTCTCCCTGGTATCCAGTGATAGGACACATGGGAATGGTTCAAAGCTGCACAAGGGGAGGGTTACAGTGGGCATTAGGAAGCATTTCTTTCCCAAGAGGGTGGTCAAACGCTAGAACAGGCTTCCTAGAGAGATGGTCGATGCCCCAGGCCTGTCAGTGCTTAAGAGTCATTTGGACGGTGCCCTTAATAACATGATTTAACTTTTGGTCAGCCCTGAAGAGGTCAGGCAGTCGGACTAGGTGATCGTTGTAGGTCCCTTCCAACTGAAAATATTCTATTCCATTCCTGCACCACTTACAAAACACACTAAAAAAATTATTGAAGTTACTGGGAGAAATTGGGATGGCATTTAATTATCACAGGCACTTTACTGTGACAAGCACACTCTGCTGCTGATACCACAATGCTTCCTTCATGATTATCCCACCTTCTTGAAGTTGCAGTTTCACGTGACTATATTGGCAACACTCTGGATCACACTGGCTCCAATTCTTAAAAGTACCTGCACTTTTCTCTCACACATGTAAAAACATGGTAGTTACCTAAACAATGCCATTCTAGATGTCATAAGGCATACTGGAGTACCCATATGGGGCTGGCAGCTGTGGGCCTGGACCTCCGAGACATCTGTCCCCTTTTGGAGCAGGACATACCCTGGCAGCATGTAAAATGACAGTAAACCCCTATATTCAGGCACCTTCATCTCTCCCATATTGTTCTGACTTGCATTGTTACCAATACAGCTCAGCTTACTGTCTTAGTAAGAAAACATTAACTTGTATAACCAGCACATTACTGGCAAATTTAAATGTATGCCAGACAATAAGGCTGTCTTACATACCCTGGGCAGAACTTCCTAGTCATATGCACATACAATTAATAGAAACACAATGCAGCATGCAGAAAAGGAAAGAGCTTACATAAGGAGCAAGGTTTGTGATTCCCATGTAAAAACAAGAGGCTTTTTGTCTCCCTTTTAGTGTTAAAGTAACCTTTTACTGTAGAAAAAGCAATTTATTTTCTCATGGTCAGCTATTCCATTTCTGCAATCTTAGATTTTTAAATATAGAAAACTTTGAAAATCCACAGAGGTTCCAGAATATATATGAAAATATTTAAGTGAGGCTGAGCCTCTAAAACCTGATAGGCTTTAAACTACCCTGCAATAAATAAATCACTGGCTTCAGAATAAATATTAATGGCCATGGCTTTGCAAAACAGTTTAAGAAAACACACCTATTAAAGAAGACAACCCTCAATGATTAACTTTGCCAACGCAGACAGGTTAAGGCTACTTTAAATGGGAAAGTGTGCACTGTGCAGGATAAAAATCCCCAGCAATAGCTGCCAATGTACCCATGAAAAACAATTACCTTTACCCTGTTAGGAACTTCATGCTTGCCAAATATTATCGGGGCAGCATTTCTTAAAATGCAAATTGTAAAACATCAGAAAGCAGTTCAATGAGCAACAGCAAAATTCTCTTAGTACTAGGAATATATATGCACATTTGCATAATCCAAATGAGAAAGTGGAACAAAATGGGAGAATACAAATTAACAGATATTTACAGCATGAAGCCTGACTTTTATTTGGATGTAAAGTCAAATCCATTGTAATAACTCTGTAGATGACACTCCTTGGATTTTTTTTCCTCCCCAAAAGACTAGGTGTCTGTTTCATTTTCAAAAGGCTGAGAAACACCCCACTGAAGGAAAAAAGAACTCTTGAGAAGATTTATAAAATAATCTTTCATGAGAAATTTAATTTGCTAGCCTTTTTGGCTAGAAAGCTCTTTGGCTGACAGCTTTCAGAGCAAAAACCCCCAACAAACAGAAGGAAAACAGATGTTTTTGTTGAATCTATCACTGTACTTTGTAAACCTACAATGTACGTAGAAAAAAACAGATTGCAAATCGTGCCTGCTACTCTGCTCCCCTCGCCCGCCCCCCCCCTGCCCCCCCTTATTAATGCTATGCTATTAAAATCCATTTGGGTAGTCCAAACAAGTCTTAATTGTTTAATAAAGAAATGAATTCAGCATTGTGTGAATACTTAACAGTCTGATGATCAGTAGATATTCAAACAGCAGCAAGAATGTTAAATATGCATACAAATTGTTGTAGGAATATTTAAAGTTGATTCCAACTCTCAGAAATTTGCTAGGTACAACAATTTCACATACTATGAAATCACTTCTGAGTAGTGAAATAGGTCTAAAAATAGAAGCAGCAAATGAACCCATCACGCTCAATAGCTCTATAAGATTAACAGTTCATCTAGAATTTCATAATAGGGCAAGAAGTTGATAGACTATGCCCAACAGACTAATTTCTAGTAATGCTGCTATACAGGAATCCAAGTGAAACCACACTGCTCAGACAGGACACAATTATAAACTAGGCAGACAAGTCAAAGTTGGAAAAAGCTGCAAAACAGAACAGCTCACATTTTCACAAACTGTTTCCCTAAGGTGAGCACTGAGGGGAAAATTCTTGCTGTGTACATTTCTCTTTTGTATATGCTGACTGTGGTGTCTGGGATTTTGAGATAAATCTCAAAATACGGCCTTGCTGAATAAAAAAGGCAAACACTGCTTATCAGTAAACCACTAGCATTACCAAAACACAGGACATGAAAATGATTACTTGTTCATAAATTGATTACTTGGTCTCAGTTTTGTCTTCTTCAGTGCACAGTGTAGTATTTAAAGTCAAAGCTAGCTCTGAACTTTTTAAAACCTTGTTTTTCCATTCTTCTTAGATTAACAATAAGTCACCTAAAAGTTACCTAAAAGGGCCCATTAAAATGGGCAGGAAAACCAGAAACAAATTGCAAATTCACTCTTCAACACACAGCGCAAAAATCATGGTCACAGCTTCATATTTAATGTGGAATCACTTTAAGTATACAATTATTTCAAAAGATCCAGAAACTGGTTAAGAGTTAAAAGCCAGTAGAACAAAAATACAGGAAATCCAAAATACATCTTTGACCTTTTTAATCCTAAATTTTAGGGTCACATGCCTGAATAGCCAAGTTTGCTTTGTGAGGAAAGAAACTTTGGTATGGAGTTGAACTAGCCACATGAATAGCACCTGTAGCTTTCAAAATAAATAGTAATGGCTAACTACACACCATGGCAGCAAGATATCCTCTTAAAAAAAGACTAAGAACAAGCACATGCTTGGAGCTATGCATCAAGGCTGGACAACAGAAACTAGTGTAATCTTTATTTAAAGTAACTTTAAAGCATTTCTGCTTTCTATATTTCTGATGCTGAACTTAGTAAGAAATCTTTTGCGAAAGCTTTCCTTTTATTTTCTAACCACTAATAATCACTCCCTTAAAAATTGCACTCTGATGCTTGAAGAACACTGTATCAAATTTTTTCTTTAAGTCTTTAGACTCCCTCTATTTTTCTAAAATATTGTATTTTTATTCCATAGGGCCATGCTGTTAGCAGTAGGTGTTGCAAACAGAAACATCCCCCTACTCCAAGAGTTACTTATTAAAAAGGTCAAAGATAAATTCGACCTCAAAATGGAACAAAAGGGTTTTTAATTAATGGTACCACAAATAACAAATGACCTTTGTAATGTGTGACACTCTCCTACAGCCACTGATAAAGTAGTTACCAGAATGTTAGTCTATGTTAATCTGTGTTTTATGGGTTTGCAACAAAGCATAATACACATTGAACAGAATGAGTGAAACTTCAGTTTCCAGTGTATAATGAATTTTAGTAATTTAATAAATTTTAGCGGTTTTTTGTGTATTCCACTGTAGTGCTGTGACAACAAATCACACCTGTGTACCAGAGCATACATCAACAGTATGATGTAACTTTACTTACACCACTGCCATATTTAGCTTTTTGAAAGACATAAGCATACACTATGGCCACATCAAATAATTTTCTGGTTTTTTTCTTTGATAACCTTCACTTTTTCAGTAATACTTCATTTTTAAAATTTGAATTATTGAAAAAAATCACATAAAGTTTATACAGGAATAGCTATAAGGAATAACCTCACAGGCACTGATATGACAAACATTTATTTTAAGGGCTGAGAGGCATTATTATCATATTGACAAAGTTGGCTGAAAAGAATGACTAACTTTGCCTAAATGGGAAATGCCCGCTTTTGCTTCTATGTTGAGAAAAGAAATTCAGAAAGTTATTTTTTGGCCTTGCTATGTCACAAAGTCAATCATACAAAGACCTACGCATTTAACCTAAAATGATAGTTTTGAAAGCCCTTCTATTAAAAACAAAAACATCATGCAAAACTTTGATCAATTATGCAGCTGCTTTAAAACTGTTGCAAGACCATACTGTATATATTAGCTTTTATACTGCTAATGCACAACTAACAGCAAACTTGATTAGATTAACACAAATTTGTCTTAATTACACCGTTATATCACACTAAGGAGACAAATGCCACAAGATTGGCAAAAACATTTAATTCTGAGCACTCAAATGGCAGGATAATTATGTGTTGTAACCCCTTCACATTTAGAAAAAACCATAATCCTGCAGTCTCACTTTACAAAAAAAAAGTTCTGTAAAATATTAATTGGGAGTGGAACAGTTTGTACTATCTAACACAAAGTAACTTATACAACTAGTGTCAAAGGCAAACAAAAAAACTTCTAAATAAAAAGTCAAAATACACATAGCAACAGAAGCACAAATGCTGCATTAAATACAGTCAAGAAGACAACGCACTTGTTAATAAAAATACAAAAAAAAAGAATAGAAGTTACTAAAGTTAGCAACACATTTAAAGAAAATGCAATGAGGGAAAACTATTTTTCTACGACAACAGAGTTTCCATTTGCAGTCTTCCCATCCATAATTTGTCTGGTACAGTACATCCATTACAATATTCAGAATCTCACAGAAGAGCTAGGTTCTTCTCTTCCAAATCTAATTCCCAAGTTGGTTTTGGATGTTTTAAACAGACATTATTATGAATGAAGTAAAGGCAAGGCAACAAATGGACTTATCACCTTCGATCTTAGCACTGATGACAAACATTTTTAAAAGTTATCATAATCTTTTTTGTCTTTTTTTCCCTCTGCTTCAAATCCATCAACCCCATCACTGTCCCTTCTCCTTTTACGATTATTATGGATGTTGAAGCGTTGATTCATCTGTGGTAATGGATCCATTCCTAAAACTTTGTGTATTTGACGGAATGCAAGGAGTCTCAGTGCAAACTAGAAAAAGGGTAGAAAGAAGATATTTATTAGAAACAAATGTCAATTTGTCAAACAATTAATGAAGAACATTAGCGGTGTCTGATATGATCCTTAGCTCTCATTATCCCCTCTTCCTTACCCCAACAAAGTCAACACAATAAAATGTGTATGCCTCATTTGCTGCTTCTGTACAAAGTACATCATCTTAGCTTAAAAATAATGTATGTGTGTTTTAGCTGCTGGACTTGCACTGAAGCAGCCAAGGCTTGTCACATGTTGCATTATGCATTAGTCATCTTTAGCAAAACGATCAAATGAAGAGGTAGGGGCAGTAACCTCTTAAACTGCAAGTGTGAATGGTCAATACTGTAAGTGGATACAATAAATATTAACAATTAAACTTACACATATTTATTCATAAAATATTAAATGCCAATGAAATTTTATATCTAGTAACATACTGCTGTAAGGTGAGCATCTTTACGGATATACATAGATGGGAGTGCTTCAAACTTTTCTTTTTTTAACTAATTTTAGTGCAAAAATGAACACTATTAGACATCCTCTGTTGTGACATTTTTATTGCCTTGCTTAAGACTGATCATCTGAAAGACAGACCTATATTCTAGGAAAGGAAAATTCATGTCCACCATATAGCTCAATTTAAAAAAAAAACCAAACCAAAACCCAAACCAAATCAAAAGACACCCCAAAACCCAACCACCACATTCAGTTACTTTACACATACGTCTCCTTACCTGTGCACTTGAAGTAATATCCTCTCGTTGCTGATCTGTCATTACAGCAAGTGTATCAAAAGGATCTTTTTCACAAGGGTCCAGAAGGCCAGGACCACCTACAATGGTTAGGCTAATTAGTAGCACATCTCTACCTTATTTCAACCAAGATTACAGATTTTACATTAGTTAAGCATAAGTATACAGACACTGATCAAATGCAACTTGCCTTTAAGGATGATTCCTGAAGATATACACTCAAAAACTCTTCTCAGTGCATCCCCAGGACTCTGTGGTCCAGTAGCGCTGCTAATTGCTTTTTCTACAAGCAACTCCATAGCCTAGACCAATAATAAGAAGATCCAGACAATTTAGAACACGAATTAAACCAGAAAAAAAGCTGCTAGTGTTGTTCAATACAGAACTTTCGAATCCAGAATTCTGAAGAAAATTACACATCATAGAAAACTTTCAGTTAAAATGGAAAGAAAATCTGGTATTTTATAAAGCTGAATAAAAAGAAAGCTGATGCAAGATTAGCATTGAGTACTGATACTGATATGCTTCTTCTCATCACAAGTTGTTCAAAAGTTTTGTAGAAATTTATACAGCAATAGCCTACATATGAAGGTAGACAACTTGTCCAGGTATTTTTTGAGAGTATGAAACATGGTGGGTCACCTGAATCTGTCAGCCACATGAATATAAACAGCATACAGTGTATCTAATGAAATTAACAGGGTACTATAGAAAAATAATTTTTTTCTACAAGAGTACAGAAACTTAAAGCATCAAAAATTTAATGATCTTTTAACATTTAAGTGGTTACTAGCTCTTCAGCTTAGCAAAACTGAAGTTCAAGGCAAGTTTTCTCCTGGATAGAGGCTAATGCTAATGCAGATGTCAAATAAGTGTAAAAAAACCTTGACAAACAACAGCCTTTCTAAAATTCATACATTATTTGGTATTAGTTAAAATGGTTTAGATTATTAACTGTATTTTAAAGACTGTTTTTTCTGTGGATATTTCCATTGTTTACTTTTATTACATTATTTTTTCCAGAAAAACCTATAAAAGATATTTGCAAAAGGAAAGAATAGCTTTCCTTACGTTTTTTTCAGCATTAAATGGATGTTTCAATACTACCTCTTTGGCAAGTTTAATTCTCAAACAATGTGTGTCTCTTGTTTTTTGGTGGTTTTTTTGGTGGGGGGGATGTATTTTGGTCCTCCCCCGCCCCACCAAGTTTACAGTTCAAATGTTGCCTTTTATATTGACTTTCCAGGAGTAAATGCCTATTCATGCAAGTACCTATAGGCAGTGTTGGTTATAATCCTTCACTAAGGGTGCCCATTCCTTTCTATTTTAGCTCCGCTTAACTGGCAAATTTCAATTTTTGAGCATGGTATTTCCATACTCCCACTGCATCACTCATCAACAGCAATTTAGTTGTTTTTACGTATCATGCAAAATACAGCAGGAAAGAAAAAAAGCAGATCATGTTTTTGCATTTATTCAAGTCTAGTTCTTTTGGATCCTCATACAGTACACTAAAATCTACAACTTAATCCCAGGAAAATGTGAATTATGATGCCCTGGTGTTTATGTGCATGAAAGGCTGGATTTCAAGTTTGAAAAATCAACCTTGAATAATAGTCCCTTCTAACTTGTAGGAACTTGACAGAATTCTTCTAATTTAGTTTTTATTTTTAGGAATATAAAGAGGGTGCTATTAATGTCCATATTTAGACTTCTTAGTATCTTTTATTTTTACAACTACTTAGGTTCTTTTTGAAAAGCTCTGGCATCTCTTTGGTTAGTAATAGTCTTCTAGCATACAGGTTAGGAGAAGTTCTGTACCCAGAAAAATGTATTTCTTCAATCTATGAAATTCCATCTGCGACTGGCAGAAATTACATATCCTTAAAATCACCATTTTCATTCTGTCATTGTTTTTATCAGTAAGACTTTGCCAATGTGCCAAAAGAACAGCTGACTACACAGACTTCAGTGTTGACCCATGTCACTGACAATGCATCAGGAATGAGGAGCAAATCAGGAATCACTTTTGGAGAGAACTGAGACACAGCTAGGCCTGACACACTGCTTCATACCTCTGTTCCCTTCTGGATGTACCTTAGAACAAATAATGTGAGAAATAAGAAACAACATTCCTTGTTCTTAATCTGTTTCCCTGTTGTGTGTTGCTATAGTGCTAAGGATGCTTTTCTAGAAGTATGCCAGGGTTTATTCTTTGGCAGCTCACTATCATAGTGATATTAAGAGGGCACTTACATACTTCTTAGCTTCTTTTAAGCTACATTTGTACGGTGTATCTTTCATGAAATGTAGCACAGAAACTGGCACTGTTTTTTTTTACTTTAAATATTTAAAAAACAGAAATAACTGCTCCACATTTTTTCCAGAAGCAATAAATATTATCAGAGGTAATTTAATAAAATTGTCTGCAAACTTAGTAGAGTTGTAGAATGTTTCTCACTGAAATAATGCCAACTGCTCAAACTATCTTGACAATGTTAGCACTCTTCCTGCCAAAACTGAAAAGGAAGCAGCACAGTGCAACAGGATTTGGTCTGTGAAACAAAACAGTCAGAGCTAAGTTTACTTCCACATGATACAAGTTTCAGAGATTTTGTTTAAGACTAACTTCGTCTGGTCCACAGATTCAGCACCTGTTAATAATTGGAACAAAAGCTGCACTGCTGAAGAGCATAATTTGAGATAATCAATGCAAAAGGAATGCTCCAAGAACACTTGGCTGCAAGAATTAAGAGATGTAACTCAGTTCAACATAGAGATCTAAGTGACACTGATTAAAATGCTAATGGTGACACATCCACAGACTGCACTGAAGTACTGTGGCATTTCATCTTGCAGAAAGAACATATTAATGCTCACAGGAATTCCTGTGATTTGTTCTTTCAAGTACACTTTCTGTTATCACACAACTATCTGGGCACAGCTGACATTATTTTAAATAAGTTTCCATAAACTCCACGCAATTCAGAGTAGGTGTTTATAAAAAATGAGATTCTTTTATACAGAGTGAAAGAAAAAAAATGCTAAAATCTAGAATAAGAATGCTACCCACAAGAATACAAAAGAACAAGAAAATTCCTTTTGGGGGAAAAAAAAAATTCCAGCTCCAAATGAAAAAACCTCAGAAAATTAAATTTTTAGAGGGAATGTGGATTATTTGCTGGGAAAAAAAACCCCAAAACCCCAAACAAAACCCTACATTACTTCTTGAAAAAGTCTACATTTAAAAACTGTAGTAACACCTCCCTATGCTTTACTTGCAGTACTATGTGTATTAAAAAGACTCATTCAAAAGAACATTACTCACCCAGCTTGGAAAATCAGACCAAGTTGGAACCCGCTGACAGAGGTCACGAAGAATACGTATGATAATCACACAGGACTGCAGACCATTAGCTCTAGCCTTGAGAGCAATACAAAATCAAATTAATTAATCCCAGCACCTACAGCAAATAGGAGTTGTTGAAAGACTAAAACACCACTGTTCAATGGAAGCTCAGATACAAGACTGAAACAAATCATTCTACAACTTTATTCCGTGAGCTGCCATTTACAGCAGTATTTTATACAGGGTTAGTAATTTAAGGTGGTAGAAGTCAAAGTGTACAGGTTATACAAGAATAACATTTCTTGATCCCCTGTATACTTTGACCTATGTTCACTTGTAACAATAAATACAGTATCTTTCTATATTAGAAATAAAAAGGATAAAGTAAAGATCTAAGAAATAGGTATAGAGACTGAAAGGTCAAGGGAATCTGTTTGGTTTCTTTATTGTGCCTTTGCCAGAATGCAAAGTCACTAAACCAAACAGTTG